GGCTACAAGGAGGCACACTTGCCACTTACATCATCTGGCCTCGGCAGGTCATTACCGGACCTGAGCGGATTGGGTGATTGACCCTCAGGTGAGACTCTCTACCAGAGTCATTTTGACATGTGAACCACCTTACAGAATGTAATTTGGTTCTTGTTTCATCTTTTTTCAAGCTGGACCTCACTTGAGGTAAATGACTAAGGGACTGAGCGGAGCAAGAGGGAGAAAGAGGTATCATGTCATCTGCCAAGACCACACTATAAGCCAATGAGAGTCTATGACTCAGAGGCTCAGAGAGTTACATGGATGGAGCACACCTTCTCTCAGGACACACATGTCTCAGGACGTGAAGGACATGAAGGCTCTGCATTAGGACCCCTCCCAGACCTTGCTCTAGGCATCTCTTCATACAGAGCTGTTTTCCTAAGTATAATGTACTCTGCATGAAGTTCTAGGAGTACTTTCTGCAAATCATCAGACCCAAGAATCAGGACTCAACAAAGGACTGAGTTTTGGTATTTGTTCCTGGAGTTCAGTGAAAGCTAAGAGCCAAAGAACTAGTAGGAGATTGATGGGGTGGCAGTGTCAGAGGCATCTCTACCCTGGAAGCCAAAGGCTCATGCTGTAGAGCTTTCCTCAGGTCGAGAAACAGAAGCCAGTGTGGTGTCTTTTCTGAAGGCTCCACCAGGGAAGATTTCCAGGCTCCTGTGACTGTTAGCAGGACAAAAGCAGAGTCAGCTTACTTTGAAAGCTGAATTTGCATTTTTAAATTGAGAATGTGGCAATTATTTAACAATATCATTGATACTACATGCAAGCAAGATTCTGCTGAAGATCATCCCAAAACGGCTGGAACAGCACATCAGCAGAGAACTGCCGGAAGTCCAGGCTGGGTTTAGAAGGGGTCGTGGTACAAGGGATATTATAACTGATGTTAGATGGATCTTAGCTGAAAGCAGGGAATGCCAGAAGAATGTCTATCTTTGTTTCATTGATTATGCAAAGGCATTTGACTGTGTG